CTACTTCGATGCTGAGATGCTCCGCCGAGTCTTGCAGCCCGAGCCCGGGGGCGCAGCCGCGCCGCCGCCCGCTGGCGAACAAGTCTCGCAGGGCGAGCGCCGCCGACTCCAGCGCGACAAAGCTGAAGCCGTCGCGCTCCACAACGAGGGTGCACGGCTCGCCCGGCATCAGGAGATCTCGCGCCACGGCGCCGAGGCGGAGACTTTCACGCGCAGGGAATTGGAGGTGCTTTGAAAAATGGTAGAGCGGCGAGTTGCTAGCCAAACGGAACGAGGCGATTGGGGCGCTAGGACATGGCCGCCCCCAGAACGCGGAGGGGGACTCCCCGGGCATCGGCGGCGGCGCAGGCGGTGGGCCCCGGCGCGTCCTCGACAGTTGGCAGCCGCCGGACTGGCGTAGCTTCCTAAGAGGAGAAGATCTTCCGGCTGGCGTCTCCAGCACTGACCACATCGATTCCAAGGATATCTAGGTCTCACATACTGGTTTTGCATGCGCGGTGCTTCTCAGCCTGCGTGCTTGTAATACTAGTTGCAACAGTTGTAGGATTGCATGTCCGCGGTGCTTTTCAGCCTGCGGCTGTCTGCTGCGCTTCTTAGATTCCGGACTGGCGTGACTTCCTGTGCGAAGACAATCTTCCAGCTGGCGTGTCCAGCACTGAGGGCGACTACCACAGTGATATCTGGGTCTCACATACTTGTTTTCTTTGCGCGGTGCTTCTCAGCTTGCGCGCTTGTACTACTAGTTGCAACAGTTGTAGGATTGCATGGCCGCGGTGCTTCTCAGCCTGCGGCTCTGTGCAGTGCTTCTCTGATTGTGCGTTTTGCCGGCTCTCCGCTAGAACACTTGCTTGGAGGCGCGAAGCGCCGTCCGGGACGGAAAAAATTTGCCGGCTAGAGAAGGCAAGGGGAGACAGCGGCGACGACGAGGGCAGCGGCGACGAGGACGAGGAGGACGATGACAACGACGGCGACGATGACGATGACAACAGGGTTGATAGCAGAGTCCCGTTTTCATACAACTCCCACTATTGATAGCAGTGTCTCGTTTTGAAACACTTCCAGCATTGATAGCAGAGTCTCGTTTTTACACACCTCCCACTAGTGATAGCGGTGTTTCGTTTTAACACACACAGTTCCAGTACTCGTAGCAGAGTCTCGTTTTTAGACAACTCCCAGTATTGGTAGCAGTGTCTCGTTAACACAGTTCGAGTATTGATAGCAGGGTCTCGTTTTAAAACAGTTTTCATTATTGATAGCAGTGTCTCGTTTTGACACAATTCCACTATTGATAGCAAAGTCTTATTTTATATATAAATATATAAACATTCCTCTCACTATTGATAGCAGTGTCTCGTTTTGACACACTTCCAGGATTGCTAGCAGTGTCTCGTTTTCTAAACAACTTCCACTAGTGATACCAGCGTCTCGTTTTAATGCAGCTCAGTAGTGATAGCAGAGTCTCGTTTTCATACAACTCCCACTATTGATAGCAGTGTCTCGTTTCGACACACTTCCAGTATTGATAGCCGAGTGTCGTTTTTTTATACACCTCCCACTATTTATAGCAGGGTCTCGTTTGGACTTACATCGATTGATAGCAGCGTCTTGTTTGGGAGGGGCGAAAAAAGAACGTGCTGTCTCGTCGATAGCAGTGCCTGCTTTGCTGACTCATCCACTATTGACAGCAGCGTCTCGTTCCCAGACACATCTGTAGTAGCAGGCAATATTTAATCCAGTGATAGCAGCGTTGCGTTTGGACCTACATCCCTGCATAGCAGCGTCTCGTTTGGAATGAACACAACAAGAATGTGCTGATCCGTTGATAGTAGAGCCATCTTTGCAGACTCGCACACTATTGATAGCAGCGCCTCGTTTCCAGATATGCTTCCATATACGCTTCTACGCATAGCTGTTAGGTTGCTTTGCTGGGATAATGTTAGAAAAACACTATGAAGCACAAGGCACGGGTTTTGCGTAATGTTCATCTTTCCTCCAACATTCCCTTGTACTGGACATGCCCGAAATGAGGCTCAATTTTTTACCACGCCAGAACTTTTTGGAGCGCCTTGCGTGCCTCCAGGGTGCCTCTTTGCAGCCTCTTTGGGGTCTCGTCGGTTCCTCTGGGGGGCATCTTGGGGCCGTCGTTGGGAGCTTGTTGGGGCCTCCTGGGCAGTTCTCTGGGCCGTCACTTTCGTCCTAAAGTTTGCCCGCGCTTTCTCCTCGCTGGTCGAGGACGCCTTCGAAACGACAGGTGCGCGCTCCAGGACGCCCTCGCTCGCGCGAAGATCGTCCCAGGAAGCAGCCCGAGGATGTCAACATCAGTGTTTGTCCTTTGGTTTTGTTAACGGCGCATACGTTTTCCGCATTTCGCATCTCTTGAAACGCCTTGGGTGCCTCGGTAGAGCCACTTCGGGCCTCCAGAGGGCCTTTCGGGAGTCTCTTCGCGGTTTCTTGGAGGCATCTTGGGCACCAAACTCATGTATGTTTCTTCGGTTTTTCATTGTGTTCACGCCTTCCTCCCATCGAGCCTCTTGATGCACCTTGGGTGCCTCAGTGGCGCCTCTTCTTCGGGCCTGCAAGGCGCGGACGTCGTCCCAGGAAGCAGCCCCCAGGAGCCATCATCTCTGATTTTTCGCTGGTTCTTCAAGGTGTCCGCGCCTTCCTCTTGCAGTCGGGCCGAGGTGGAAGATCGATGTCGGTTCGGGGAGGGTGCCCTCAGGTTCTTCGCGTGTGTGGGATGTTCTGCTGCATCCAGAGGGGTACTCTTGGATGTTCTGTGCGTTCTGGCCGGCAGAGGGTCTCGTGTTCTTGAAGGATGTTCTTCTGGCCTAGATCCGACTGTCCGATTGTATTGGGGTGCCTCAGTGAAGCCTCTCCGGGTTTCCAGGGGGCCTCGTCGGAGTCTCTTAGAGGCCTCTTGGGGGCATCTTGGGGGCATCTTGGGGGCATTTTCGGGGCTTCTCGGGTCCGCGCTGGACGGCCCTGGAGACCCCGCGACGACCCCGCGAGGCCCCCGAGAGAAACCCAACAATAGGCCCCAGAGGGACCCATGAGAGTCTCCAAGAAACCCCTACAAGTAGTCACGAGAAGGATCCTTGTTCGTGACTGGCTGTTGGCCTGGCCCCTCTTGGTGGTCTCCCGAGACGCTCCGAGACCGCGGTGGAAGGCCCTGGAGGCCCCCGAGACGGCCCCGAACCGCAACCATGACGGCCCCGAGACGCAAACATGATCGCTTGGCGGCCGCACCCGTTCACCTCGCGAGTGGACGTAGTCCACGGGTCAGCCTTAGTCTTCTCTACAATGCAGGGACCCGTGCGTGCGGGAAGTGTCCCTGTCTTGATGGGCTTCAAATGCTCCACAACGGCTCCGGGTACGCCCCAGAGGCGCTCACGCGGCCCCAGAGGCGCCCAGGACGGCCCAAGAGGCGCCCAGGACGGCGCCACAGACCCCCAAAACGGCCCAAGAGCGCTACAAGAGAGCTCAAGACCGCCGAAAACGGCCCCGACAAGGCCCAGGAGGCCTCCACGACGGCCCCAGAGACGCCCAAGAGGCGTCCCAGGATGGCCCCCGCAGGCCCAAATCATTGTTTTTCCCAAAAAAGCGTGCAATTTTAGCATACACTGCTTGTCGGGCATATTTCGCAGAAGATGGGACAAGAGGTCCCCACGACCGCCCCAAGACGCCCCCCAGAGGCACGAAAACCGGCCCGAGAGAGCGTCAAGAGACCCAAGAGGCGCCCAACACGGCCTCCAGGCGGCCCCAAGAGGCTCCCAGGAGGCGCCCAGGACGGCCCCAGACACCCCCAAGACGGCCCCAGAGCGCTCCAAGAGAGCCCAAGACCGCCGAAAACAAATCCAAGACGGCCTAGGAGGCCTCCACGACGGCCCCAGAGACGCCCAAGAGGCGTCCAAGGATGGCCCCAAGAGGCGAACATCATTGTTTTCCCGAAGAAAAGCGTTCAATTTTAGCATGCGCTGCTTGTCGGGCATATGGCGCAGAAGCTGGTTCAAGGTCCCCACGACCGCCCCAAGACGGCCCAAGAGGCCCCCAAGACGCACGAAAACCGGCCCGAGAGGGCGTCAAGAGAGCCCAAGAGGCGCCCAAAACGGCCCCAGGGCGACACCAAGACAGGCTCCCAGGACGGCCCAAGGTATCCCCAAGACGCTCCAAGAGCGCTCCACGACAAGCCAAGATTGCCTTTTGCGGCGCCAAGACGGCCCAAGACGCTTCTACGACGGCCCAAGAGACGCCGAAGAGGCTTCCCAGGAGGGCCCCAGGAGGCCACAATTATCGCTTTCCAGACGGAAGCCGTACACATGTCAGCATCTCCGGCTTTCCCGGTTTCATGGCGTAGACGACGGCCCAAGAGGCCCCCAACACCGCCCCAAGACGGCCCAGGAGGCTCCCACAGGGGATCCACACCGGCCCGACGGAGCGTCAAGACATGTAGCCGAAGAGCCGCCCAAGACGGCCTGGCAGCGCAATATGGCCCCCAGAGCTTCCCAACACGGCCCAAGGTTCCCCCAAGACGGCCCCAGAGCGCTCCAAGAGGTGTCGAAGATAGCGGGGCAAGGTACCAGTGTGCCATTTCAGGGGCCTCCCTGAGCTCCTGCTCCTCCTCCTCCTCCTCCTCCTCCTCCTCCTCCTCCTCCTCCTCCTCCTCCTCCTCCCCCACCTCCTACCCCTCCTCCTCCTCCTCCACGTCCTCCTCCTCATCCTGCTGCTGCCCCTCCTCCTCCTCCCCCTCCTCCGCCTCCTCCTTCTCCTCCTCCTCCCCCTCCCCCCCCTCCCCCTCCCTCTTCCTCCTCCTTCTCCTCCACCTCCTCCACCTCCTCCTCCTACTCCTCCAACTTCTTTTCACTCACCCCGCTTGCGAGAGCCCCCGAAACAGCACGCCTGAGAGGCGCGCGAAAGCCTTCCTGCACCATCTCCCCCCTAACCACGGAGCCCACATAAAAGAACATATCGTGGCCGGTAGACCACGGGTCAGCCCTGGTCAGCTACAACGCTGGGATCAGTGCGTGCGAGAAGGGCGAGCAATGGCAGCGTGCACTGGCGTTGCTCAGCGAGATGGAGGAGGTGAGGCTGAAGCCCGACGTCATCAGCTTCAACGCTGGCATCAGTGCTTGCGAGAAGGGCGAGCAATGGCAGCGGGCGCTGGCGCTGCTCAGCGAGATGTGGGAGGCGAAGCTGAAGCCCGACGTCATCAGCTGCAACGCTGGCATCAGCGCGTGCGGGAAGGGTGATCAGTGGCAGTGCGCCCTGGCGCTGCTCAGGGAGATGCGGGAGGCGAAGCTGGAGCCCAGCGCCATCTCCCCTACAATACCGGGAACAGTGCGCGTGAGAGGGGTTTCTGGACAGAGTGCCTTCAGGTGTGTCCGAGCCGCTCGAGAGGACGCCCCGACGGCCCCATGACGGCCCCGCGACGCTCCAGAGGCCGCCCCGACTGCCCACAGGCGGCTCCGAACCGCTCAACAGGGCGCCCCCGCGACCCCAAGACGGCTCCGAGCTGCTCCAGAGGCCACTCCGACGGCTCCAGGGACGCTCCGAGCCGCTCAAGAGGCCGTCCCGACGGCCCCCAGGGCCCCCAGGGCAGGCCAGGAGCCTCTGAAGACGGCCCTCGAGGATCCCCCAGGACAGCCCCAAGACGCAAAACATCGCCCCATTTCCTTTGGAAAACTCTCATGTTTGGCATTCTCGTGCTCTTCGTCTCCGACGCGTTCACGACGGCCACAGAGCCCCCCACAATCGTCCGAATGTGCTCTCATCAGGGCCCCAAGACGGGCCCAGGACGGCCCACGAGGCGCCCAAGTCGGCCCAAGAGGCACCCAAGCTCCAAAGACGGCCTCAGACGGCCCAAGACGGCTCGAACCTTGCCCAATAGGCGCCAAAGACGGCCCACGTCGGCCGCAAGACAGCCCAGAAGGCACCCAAGAGCCGCCCAAGACAACCCAGAAGGCACCCGAGACGGTCCCAAGAGCCTCCCAATACGGTTCAAGACGGCCCCCGTACGGCCCAAGAGGCGCCAAGACAGTTCAAGACGGTTCCGAGACGGCCCAAATGGCACCGACGAGAGTCCAAGAGGGCCCAAAGAGGCCCTTTGGAAGCCGAAACAAAAACCCCAAGAGGCTCCCACACGGACACCCAGGGGCCCTAAGTGGCTACAGAATTCCCTCCAGCAGAGGGGGTGCGGACGAGAGGTGAGAGGCAGAAAGCAGGCCCCAACAGCCGTTTTCGATGCTCCGAGCGTCAACGATTGACGATCCAACATCCAGGGCATGCATGATAGAGGCAAGAAGGCTGAGGAGGTGGAGGAGGAGGAGGAGGAGGAGGAGGAGGAGGAGGAGGAGGAGGAGAAGGAGGAGGCCGAGGAGGAGGAGGGGGAGGAGGAGGAGAAGGAGGAAGAGAAGGAGGAGGAACTAACCCAAGACGGCCCAGAAGAGAGCCTCATGAGGGTCCAGATGACGTACGGAGCTCTGAACGTGGCCCCAAGACGGCCCAAGAGGAGCCCAGACGGCCCAAGAGGGCCCCAAAAGGTCCCGAAGAGGCCCACAAGAGGACCTGAGAGGCCCTCAACCCCTCAAGAGGCCCAAAGAAGCTTGAAAGCTACCTCCAAGAGAGGGGGCCCAGGCGCTCCTGACACGCCCGAGAGAGCTTCGCCTTCAACATAACTCCAACAGAACGGCCTCCCCAACGTAGCGGAGCACGTCCGACCCAGCAGCGGTGTCTGTTAAGATCTTATCACAGTTCACACCCTCTTGAAGCTCTCTCTTGAGCTCTCCCCGGAGATCCTTGCAAGCCTACCGGGCGCTCCTGGTGGCTTTCCCTGAGGGCCTCCCGAGCCCTTACCTGGGCGCTCCTGAGACGCCTCAGATGGGCTTCGACTTTGACGCGCATCCCCGAGTCTTCAAAGCTGCCCTCAACAGGAGGGGGGCGAACGAGCCGCGCGCCAGGGCCAAGCTGCTGGAGCGCTGCAAGAGCTCGGAAACGAAGGCGCGGTCTCGCTGCCGCCGCCCCGGCTGCCGCCGCGCTTGTGGGTTTTCGGCACAATCTCCGCCGTTCCTCCGAGAACCATTCCAGAAAGATGTCGTGGACTCAGTCTACGAGACAGCCCTTGTCTGTACTACAATTCTGGGCGTTGCGCGTGCGAAAATAGGTCGTAGTGAAAAGCTGCTTCCGAGCGCCCGAAGCGCCCCGGCGCTCTCCGACTGCTCCAAGGAGCCCCTCGGCGGCCCCAAGACTGCCTCCGACAGCCCCAAGTCAGCTCTGAGACGCTCCAGAGCGCACGAGGACAACCCAAGACGACCCGAACGGGGCCCCATGACAGCCCAAGACGGCCCGACGACGGGCCAGGTGCCTCGGACAACGGCTGAACCAGACCCCGATGACGGTCCCCCTGAGGCCCAAATCATTGGTTTCCCAGAGGTTTCTCTCAAGGTTTTCATATTCTCGTCATTTCGGGCCAATAACGGCCCCAGGCGGCTCTAGGGCCATCCCAGACCGCGCCAACCCCGCCAAATCCCCAAGGCGGCCCCAGAGGGCCCGAAGATTTGTTCAGGAGACACCCAAGACAGCCTCGTGGAGCCCCTGGTGGCACCCAGGACAACTCCAAGAGTGCCTTGGGAACTGCCCAACGGGCACCAAGGCAAGCTCCAAGACGGCCCGACACCCCCTGCATGTCCCCGGGACGGCCCAAGGGTCCCCCGAGGCGGTCCAAATGAAAGGTTCCGAAATTGGACAAGACGGCCCCGAGAGTCTCAGGAGAGACCCCCTATGAGGGCTCGAAGATGGGGCCGGAGGGAGCCCAGACGACGCCCAGCCCCCAATCAGTCAAGAAACCTCCAAGGACCACTCCCGCATGCGCCAGAGTCTCCCAAGAGACTCCGACGGTTCCCGAGGAGCTCCCAAGAGCCACGAGCCACGGCACCCTTTCGCCGTCTCTTCACCCCCACAGACCCCCCGAGAAAGCTCCAGACCATTCTGAGATGCCCCAGAGCCTCCCGAGAGACTCCTATGGTCCCCACAGAGCTCCCAAGAGCGGCCCCAGGGCCACTCCTTGATGCCCCAGAGTCGCCCACAAGACTCCTACGCTTGCCAAGAGACTCCGGCAGTTCCCGCGAAGCTCCCGAGAGCGGCCGAAGGAAGAGACTCCCATAGTTCCCACGGAGCTGCCAAGAGCGATCCCAAGACCACTCCGAGATGGCCCAGAGTCACCCTCAGGACCTCCCCCCCATCTGGCCGATGCGGGTTGGCAGGGGCGACCTCCTCCTCTGACCTCTTCCTCTGACCTCTTCCTCTGTCCCTCGTCGGGGCTCCCGCCGCTCTGGGGCCTCCACTTCTCACCTGCAGCCACGTCGGTCGCTCCCCCTCTGCGGCCGAGCAGGGGTCACAAGGCCCGGGGGCGGACAGACCTCCCACCCTGACGCGTCGATTAGTGAACTGTCCGTTTTCGGTTCTCGAGAGGGCGCCGCGGCCGTCACTTTCCAGGCTTGCGCCCGCCGGGTTTGGGCCCGAGGTCGTTTTCACTTTTCACTAAACCACGTTTTACTAAAAAGGAGCCGATCCATCCCCAAAGGGGGGGGGGAAAGGGGGGGGGGGGGCTGCAGACACCGAGGGGGGCCAGCATCTCGTCCCCCCCACGGCCGAGTGGGGCCCTCGGTGGCCCCCAAGACAGCCCCCCCAGACCGCGAGATCCCTCCCTGGACCGCTCCGAGCTGGCGCAGACCTCCCCAGGAGATCCGAAGGTGGCCTCCGGCCCCCGCTCCCGGAGCACGCAGCAGACCCTGCAGCCAACCCCGGGGGGTGCCAGGGGGGACGTCCTGACAGCAACCTCACAGCACACACGCACAAGAAGTTTCCCGGGCTGTCCCCCGGAGGAGGCTCCGAGGGACAGCCCGGGAGCGGCCCCAGAGGCGCCCAAACACCGCAGGAGGCCTCCAACACGCCCCACACAGCTCTCGCAGGAGGGCCAGCATGCCCCCGACACGGCTCGAGGGACGGCCGAGCTGTTCAACTTCGACGGCCTGTGCACCCACGGCGCCCGAGTCCCAGGCTCAGCACGCCGCAGGTTGAACCCACGGGTTCGCGCTGGTCAGCTACAGCGCCGGCATCAGCGCGTGCGAGAAGGTCGGGCCAGACGAAAGGGGGGGATTGGGAAAGGGGGGGGTACGAAATTTGCTGCATGCAGCTGGTTTCGGCCTCACCGAGGGGCCCATTCCTCGATACATGAGCCGCCTCCAGCGCCGGGAGGCGCCGGGGAAATCAGCTACGTGAGCTGATTCTCACCCCCCCCTTTGCTATCCCCCCCTTTCGCCCGACCCGAGAAGGGCGAGCAGTGGCGGCGGGCTCTCGCGCTGCTCAGCGAGATGCGGGGGGCGAAGCTGAAGCCCCACGTCATCTGTGCTACAGCTCGGGGCAGTCCGCGTGCGGGAAGGGCCCGCTCGGTCCAGACCGCCTGGCCCCTGGCCCTGGCTCCTCCTCCTCCTCCTCCTCCTCCTCCTCCTCCTCCTCCTCCTATTCCTTCCCTCCTCCTCCTCCCCCTCCTCCTCCTCCTCCTCCTCCTCCTCCTCCTCCTCCTCCTCCTCCTCCTCCTCCTCCTCCTCCTCCTCCCCCTCCCCCTCCTTCTCCTCCTGCGCTCGCGGCTGCCCCAGTCCCATGCGCCTAGATGCCTCCCCGACCGAGACCTCGGCGGCCCCGCTCCCGGCGGCCCGGCGCTCTGCCCGAGAGAGCCCCCCCGGGAGCGCCGAGGCGCGCACGAGGCCCTCCCAGGCCAGAGTCTGTGCCTTCTCCTCCTCCTCCTCCTCCTCCTCCTCCTTTTCCTTCTCCTCCTCCTCCTCCCCCCCTCTCCTCCTCGTCCTCCTCCTCGTCCTCTTTCCTCTCCTCCTCCTCCTCCTCTTCCTCCTCCTCCTCCTCCTCCTCCTCCTCCTCCTCCTGCGCTCGGGGTTGCCTCCGTCAAACGACGCGAAGATCGGAACATAATCGGATCGGGATAACTCGAAATCTCTGAGACTCGGCGGGTTTGGGGGATATGTTGGGCGCCGCGGCCGCTGCAGAGCGTTCCGGAACGCTCTGACAGCGCTCCGGACGCTCTGGAGCGATTTATCCTGATCCTAGCCTTGTTTTAAGGCAGGCAGAGGCAGCAGACTTCCCACGTCGGCCAGAACCCGCTCGCTTGCAATGCTACCGGCTTGGCATCGCTCGGACGTGTGCATTTTTGTTTCGGCGAAAGCCCTCGAGGACCATCCTGGACCATCGAGGAAAGAAAACACCACGAAACCGACAAATGCACGGGAAATGGACGTCCGAGCGACGGCAAGCCGGCTTCCGGAATTTTTCGCCTCCCCCATAAGATTTGAAGGGAGGAGGGAAGGACAAGCAACAAAAGAAGTGCGTTCCCCAGCTGTGCACCGCCATGAAGTTGCTGTGCACATCAGTCAAGCATGCACTGGCAGCGCCTACTGCTCAGCACCCCCACCCCTGTCCGCGAGAAATCGCAAGGACCAGACGAGGCGGATAATGAGAACACCGATGAGAGGCGGCAGGAATGAACAGAGGAGGAAGAGGAATGGGCGGAGGAGGAGGAGCAGCAGCAGCAGCAGGAGGAGCTTGAGTTCAAGATCCGTTTCGGGTCTGTGCCATGTCTGACACCGCACAGGGTCTGAGTGGGCGGGAGTATTGCACGTCACATACCCTGCTTCTTTTTTTGTCCAGAGAGCGATGGGCAGCCACTGGAAGGGGAAGAGGAGAGGGAGGAGGAATCCAGGAGAAGGGCAGAGGAGGAGGAAGGGGAAGAGGAAGGAGGAAGAGGGGCAGGGGGAGGAGGAATCCAGGAGGAATCCAGGAGAGGGAGGAGGAAGGGGAAGAGGAGAGGGCAGTGCCCTGTCTGAGCTCGCGCGGCGGGTTGCACGGCCTCGGTGCGCCTCCAGCAGGCACGACGACCAGGTGGCTCGTGGGCTGTGGCCGAAGAGGGGCCCGACAGAGCTGCACCGGGAACTGCAGCCACAGCACGCAGTAGCATGCGCGGAATGAGCAGTTCGAGCCCCGCGCCATCATGTCCGCCTTTCGGCAGCACGTTCACCGTCTCATGCCAATTCGCCCAGTTTCCGTGTACATAGCCTGCGGGCCAGCACCAGCGATCAGCTGCAACGCCGGGATCAGCGCGTGCGGGAATTGTGAGCAGTGGCAGTCGGCGCTTGCGCTGCTGAGCGAGATGCGGGAGGCGAAGCTGGAGCCCAGCGTCGTCTATGCTACAACGGCGGGAGCACCGCGCGCCAGAAGGGCGGGGCATGAGGCTGGCCCCGGCGCGCGCCCCCGCCCCCGGGCGGCCTCTGGGACGCCCAACGATGCGACGCCCCGAGACGGCTCACGCTGGCCCCAAGAAGGTCCCAAGGCGGCGTCCTGGCGCTCCGAAGGGTCGACTGCGGCCCAAGAGGCCCCCCAGGACGCCCCAAGAGGGCTCCCAGAGGCACCGCAGAGGGCCCCAAGAGGCAAACATCGTCCCATTCTTGGGAATACGCATTTTTTGCATACTTGTCCGTATGCTCTTCGCAGCGTCCAACACGGACCCACAGCTCCCCAAGATTGCCCCAAGACGTTTCCAGACGCTTCCAAGAGTCCCCAAGTGGACCCCAAGACGGCCCCTGGAAGGCCCAAGAGGCGCCCACGACGGCCGAAGAGGATCCCGGAAGGGCTCCCAGAGCGGCCCAAAGACGGGCAAAGACGGCCCAAAACCGGCTGAAGAGCCCCTCCCGGGAGCATCTTTGAACTGAGTCCTGAGGATCCCTATTGGGCCGTTCAGGCGCCTCTTTTCCGCTCCGTGGATGCCTCTTCGGGCCTCTCTGGCGACTCCTGCGAGCGGCTTTGGGCCTCTTGGGGCCTCCTCGAGAGCCGCTCGACGCTTTCGAAGACGTCTTCGAGCGCCGATCGCGCCTCCTGCAAAGCAGTCCTCGGAGAGTTTTTTTTTGGCAGGCCCTCGTGGGGCCCTTCCCTGCGCGGCCCGGGGCACTTCTTTCGGCCGCTCGGGCGTCCTTGTCTAGGGCGACCGAATCTGTACATATCCACTGCTCCCTGGCCAGGCACACCGTGAACCCAGCAGCAGTGTATACGCCACACCCTCCTGGCTGGGCCAGGAGGGCGTATACACAGCTCCTGGGTTCAGAGTGGGCCTGGCCAGGGAGCAGTGGATATGTATAGATTTCGTCGCCCGATTGTCTGCCTCCCGCAGGGCCTCTTGGAGCCTCTTCTGGTCCTCCTCCCGGCTGCGTGGAGCATCCTGGGGCCTTTTCGCGCCCCGAGGACTTCCAGGATTCAGGAGGGAAAGAAACACACAGACACAATGAATCGTCCACTCCCAGGAAAATGTAGGAAAATATGGGAGGTGGGAGGGAAGACAAGAACTCAAAAGATATGGGAGAATATGGAGAATCATTTTATTTGTGTGTATTTATTTGTGTGTCCTGGGGCCCCTTCAAGGATGGCCTCGCGAATGCCCCTGCAGGCTTGGCATCGCTCGGACCTGTGCATTTTCTTCTTGGCGAGAACCATCGAGGACCGACCATCCTGGACCATCGAGAAAAATAGGGGAACAACAAGTTGCGTAAAACATAAAACTCGGAGGTCCGCGCGGATTTCTTGGATCGGCGCTGGACCCCCCTCCCTGGCGCGCGGAGCGCGCCGGGGGCGGCGGAGGCGCCGCTGGGGGGCCCCGCAGCCGATCCGAGAAATCCGCGCGGACCTCCGAGTTTTTATGTTTTATGCCACTTTGTGTTCCCCTACTCGCATCCTCTTTCCTTCCTCTCTCCTCCTCATACTCCTCGCACTCGTCCTCTTCCTCCCCCCTTCCCCCCCTTCCTCGTCCTCCTCCCCCGTCGCCCCCCCTTCCTCGTCCTCCTCCGCCCCCCCTCGTCGTCCCCCGTCCCCCATTTTTGTTCCTTAAAAAACACGCACGAAGCCGAACAATGCACGGGAAATGGACGTCCGAGCGACGGGACGCAGGGCGCCAGGGAGGGCCCCAGGCGGCGAGACACGATACACAACCAGCTGTCTACCGCTTGCGGGTGTCCGGCGCCACGTGGGAGGCCTTCTGAGACCCCGCCCCGCCCCGATCGCGACTCCAAGAATCAGGAGGGAAAAAACACACACAGACACAATTCATCGTCGATCCCCAGGAAAATATGGAATAATAGTGGAAGTGGGGGGGAGACAAAAACCCAGAAAGTATAAGAAAACATGGGGGATCCTGTTATCTGTGTGTATTGATTTGTGTGTCCTTGGGCCCCTTCATCCAAGAAGCTTCAGGAGGCCCCCGCCGGGCCCCCAGGATGCCACAAAGCAAGCCCCTGGACCCGCCCAGCAAGTTGCCGAAGGCGCCCTCTTGGACCCCCCACGGCTGCTCCATGTGCGCAGCCAGTTCGGCCCCGAACTACCTTTCTCCTGGGGCGCCTCCCCGGCCCCCCCCCGACCGAAGACGGCCCAGGAGGACCCCCCTAGGAGTGCTCCGAGAGGCAAGCATCATCTCAACTCCTTGGGAAAACGTGCGTTTTGGGCATTCTCGTGCTCTGTGTCTCCGACGCGTCCACGACGGCAGTAGAGGCCCCCAGGGTCGCCCCAACTTGCCCCCATGATGACCCCAAGACGGCCTCAGACTGCCCCAGGACGGCCCCAGAGGCAACCAAGACAGCCCAAGAGGCACCGAAGACAGCCCCAAGAGCCGCCCGCGACGGCCTCAGACGGCCCCAAGACGGCCCCAGAGGCGCCCAAGCTGGCCCAAGACGGCCCGAAGATTGCCCAAAAACCACGCAAGACGGTCCAAGGGGGCCCCAAGAGGCCCACACGAGGTCGACAAGAGGCCCCAAGAGACCCGAAACGGCCCCCATGAGGCCCTCAATGGCTTCGAAATTGCCTCCAAGAGAGGGGGGGCGGACGAGAGACCATGGCATACTGCAGGCCTCCAACAGCCGTGTTGGACGCTCGGACGGCCTTCCATGCTTGTCTTCGGGGGGGCCTCGTCCCACAGCGGTCCCATGCAGGGGGTCCCCAGATGCCCCGACGCGGCCTCGGACGGCCTCAGGCCCTGAGAGGCTCGAGTGAGCGCGATGACGACCTCAGAGCGCCCCCTTGGGAGCCCCAGGACACCAAGACAGGCCAGGAGGCTCCGAGGTCTACACTGCAACGCGGGCGGCGCCGCGTGCGGGAAGGGCGCGGAACCACCGGCATCGAAGTCGTGCCGGCCGGCCCCGGTGCACCCCTGGGCTCGTTAGCGACAGTCCAGGATGGTCCCAAGACGGCTCTCAGGGCTTCAAAGATGCGTCCAGAGGCTTCCGAGACAGGCCAAGAGCGCTCCGAGACGCCAAAGGTGGCCTCCAGCGGGCCCAAGAGCCCCCTAAGACGCCCCCAGAGGCCTCCCAGAGGACCCCAAAGGAGGCTCCGAGAAGCAAACATCGTCCCATTCCCATAGGGCACTTACATTTTGAGCATGTTCGCTTTCTTCGTCTTCCTGGACTCCAAGAAGACGACCCTGCAGGCCCCCAAGATGGCCCCAAGACGCCCCAAGAGTGCCCCAAGGCGGCTTCAGGACGGCCCAAGACGGCTCCAGGACGGCCCAAGATGCGCCCAAGAAGAGGACCCCAAGAGGGCCCGAAGAGCGGCCCAAGAGGGCCCCCAGACGGCCCAAGGGCCGCCCAAGAAGGCCCCAGAGGGCCCCAAGGCAGCCCAAGAGGCGACAGAGACGGCCCCGGAGGGACCCAAAAGGCTCCCAAGAGGCTCCCAAGAGGACCAAAAAGAGACCCCAAGAGGCTCCCAAGCGGCTCCCAAGAGGCCCCAGCCTCCCGAGAGGCCCAGAGAGGCCTCAAGACTGCCTCCAAGAGGGGGCCCCGCGCTCCCGACACGCCCGACAGAGCTTCGCCTTCAACGGAACTCCAGCAAGACGGCCTCCCCAGCGCAGCGGAGCACGTCCGACCCAGCAGTGGTTCCTGTTAAGATTTTTCTGAATTTCATAGTTGCCTCTTGAAGCTCTCGTGGGCTCTCCCGGGAGATCCTTGCGAGCCTCTCCGGCGCTACCGGCGGCTTTTCCCGACCGAGACGCCTCAGATGGGCTTCGACTTTGACGCGCATCCCCGAGAGAATTCAAAGCTGCCCTCAACAGGAGGGGGGCGAACGAGCCGCGCGCCAGGGCCAAGCTGCTGGAGCGCTGCAGGAGCTCGGAAACGAGGGCGCGGTCTCGCTGCCGCTGCCGTGCTTCTAGGCTTTCGGCAAAATCTCTGCCGTTCCTCCGAGAACCATTCCAGAGAGATGTCGTGGACGGAGTCCACGGGTCAGCCCTAGTCTCTCCTACGTGGCCAGTGGACGCGCGTGCGAGAATGGTTCACGCCTCGTGTGCACAAAATCGCCCCTTCACGGCGCCAACACGGGGCCGAATCGCTCAGGCCGGTCCCAGCTGCGCTCCAGAGGGGTCCCAGACCGTCCAAGAGCGCTCCAAGACGGCCTCAGTGGGTCCCGAGACGGCCCTCGAGGGCCCGAAGCCTTCCGGGGGGGGCTCCACGACGATCCAAGAGGCCGCAAAGACGCCCCAAGAGGGCCCCGAGCGCACGCCAGAGAGGCACAAATCGTCAAATTCCGATGGGAAAACGTACATTTTCAGCATGCCCGCCTTGTGAGCTCCTCAGCGGCCCAGGACACGCCAAGAGGCCTCCCACATCACCCCAAGAAGACGCCAGCGGCCCCTAAGAGGGCTCCAAGAAGGCCCACAAGAGCCCCAAGACGACGCCAGAGAGCCCTGAAACGGCTTCACAGAACCCCAAGACGGCCCCAAGAGAGCTCCGAGGGGGCCCCAAGAGGCTCCCAAGACGGCCTCAGGCAGCCTCAAGAGAGCTCCAAGACGATCCAAGGCCTCTCGGACGCCCCGTGACGGCCCCAAAACGTCCCAAAACGCTCCCAGAGCAGCCCCAAAAAAGCTTCAGAATGGTTTGAAAAAGACCCCCACAAGGACCACAAAGCAGGCCCAGAGTCGCCCATTATAAAAGAGCGATCGGTGAAGTACAAAGCTCTTCTCACTCAGGCTCCCAAGAGCGAGACGCAGCGTAAAGAGCTCTCCCAGGCACAGCTCCCAAGAGCGAGCGGTGACGTCGGGACACCCTTCCGACCTCTAACACAGGAGCACGCACGCACAGCACGCAAGCACAATAGATTTCCTGGGCTGTCCCGGAAGAGGCTCGGAGGGACAGCCCAGGAACGGCCCCAGAGGCGCCCCAAAAAACTTCAAGAGAAAAGGCACCCAGGAGGCCGCAAGACGGCCCAAGAGGGCCCCAAGAGGCCCCTAGGAGGCCGCAAGGCAGCCGACGAGGCCCCAACAGGCCCCCAGGAACTCGAAAAGAAACCCCGAGAGGCCCACTAACCGTTCCCAAGGAGACGGCAGCGCCCGCCATCAGGCTTCGAAGAGGCAACCGGAAAGAAGTCATCAGAGCCCTCTGGGTGACTTTTTTCAAGGCCCCAGGTGCCTTCAAAATTGACAAGCGGTGAGACGTACACCGTATACCCACCCTAATTAGCCGTCTGTGACGCTCCGAAGGCTGTCTAGGCGAAGGTAGAGAGGAAGGCGGTCGAAGAAAAGAAGCGGTCCAAGAGGGTCTCCGAGACGGCCCGAAACCGCTCGACGACGCTCGAGACGAGCCGCGGCAAACGAAATCATTGATTCTTCTATGGTGTCTGAAAGATTTCCACCTCCTCGCCATTTCAAGCGAAGACAGGCCCAAGACGGCCTTTTCGAGCAAAGACTGGCCCAAGATGACGTGGACGAAGTCCACGGGTTCGCCCTAGTCAGCTACAACGCTGGGATCAGCGCGTGCGAGAAAGGCGAACAGTGGCAGCCAGCGCTTACGCTGCTGAGCGAGATGCGGGAGGCGAAGCTGGAACCTAACGTCATCTCTCCGAAATGGCTGGGAGAAGCGCGTGCCAGAAAAGAGTAGATTCAATTATTCACTGCGTGGAGCTCCCCACATGTGCATCTATTAGCACCGACCTGTCCGCCGTGTGCGTCTAGGCGCAAGGGTTTTCGAATATAAACGGGCTTGATTATTGACGGTCTGGGAGTGACTCTAACTGTGAATGAGTTGGAGCGTGAATGAGTCACAGTAGTACGAGCGCGTCTCTGCGCATGAGCCTGTTGCGCCCCGGGGCCTCCTGTAGCCTCTTGGGACCTCCTGGGGCCTCGTGAGGCCTCCTGGGGCCTCCTAGAGCCTCCTGGAGCCTCCTGGGACCTCCTGGGGAGGATTCGTGCCCCGGAGGGGCCCACTCTAGAGGAACAGACGTGCAAGAAATGTGGTTGGAGCCACTCCTGTAGCCTTTTGAGGCCTCCTACTCCTGGGGCCTCTTAGGGCCTCCTGGTGCCTTCCGGGGCCTCCTGGCGCTTCCTGTGGCTTCCCGTGGCCTCCTGGGGCCTCCTGGGGCCTCCTGTGGCATCCTGTGGCCTCCTGGACTCTCTTGGGGCCTCCTGATGCCTCCTAGAGTTTCCTGGGGCCTCCTGGAGCCTCTTGGGGCATCCTGTGGCCTCTTGAGTCTTCCTGTGGCCTTCTGATGCCTCCTGGGACCTCCTGTTGCCTCTCGGGGCGTCCTGGAGCCTGCTGGAGCCTCCTGTGGCATCCTGGGGAGGATCCGTGCCCACGAGGCTGGCCACCAAAACAAGCAAACCGATCGGGACATCTTCAATATCTGGTCCCACTTGGGGGCGAACATGAACGCCTCGCTCGAGACATCCTACAAATCTGCTCCGAAAGCGGATGATGTTGAGTTAGGAAACAGGCAAACTGCTCGAGACATTCCCGCGATTTTGGCCCGAACGGAGGAATGGAATACTCCCTGGCGGCTCCCCTTTGGGAGTGCTGAGGCCCGCGCCTCGCTCGAGACATCCTCGAGCCACCAAAACAAGCAAACCGATCGAGACATTCTCAAAATCTGGCCCCACTTGGGGGCGAAAGTGAACGCCTCGCTCGAGACATCCGCCAACTCTGCTCCAACAGCGGAGGATGTTGAGCCAGGAAACAGGCAAACTGCTCGAGACATTCCCGCCATTTTGGCCCGAACGGAGAAATCTTCCAGTACATCCGTCGTGGCGGGCGCTTTCTGGGCAGACCGCTCGGGAAACGATATACTCCAAGATGGGTCTACTACATGTTCGGGTCGGACGCGCGCCTCCAAGGAGCACATCTAGAATTAGTATGTCTCTGTGCGTCCCAGAGGAGCCTGACAGATTCTCCCCACCTTGGGCCCACAACGGCCCAAGACGGCTTCAGAAGCTTCTGGGATCGCCCCAAGACGGCCCCAGAGAGAGGCCCTGACGAGGGCCCCAATGCGGCCCAAGAGACTGTCGAACTGGTCCAGGAGAGTCGCGATGATGATGCGAGCAGTGCTACCTGGCGCCCCCGCAGCTCAGCATTATGTGGCAGGCGAACACGACGCCATTCGTCCTGATCGCCTTGCGGCAGCACCCCTTCACCTTGCAAGTGGACGTAGTCCACGGGTCAGCCCTAGTCTATACTACAATACCGGGATCAGTGCGTGCAAAGCCCCCTCGAGTGGACTCGGCCTGGCCCCCGGCGCTCCTGGGGCCCTGGTCCGTCGCCGGCGGCCCCGGAACGGTCTTGGTCCGTCGCCGGCGCTCCCCGAACGGCCCTCTACCGCTCGTGGCGGATCCACGCGAGTCCCGAGCGAGCCCCGAAACGGCCCCCCCAGGGCCCCTGAAGGGCCCGAGTGGCCCCAGAGGCTCTCTTGACGATTTCGACCAGGGCTTCAGGGGGCAAAAAGCATTGATTTTCCATTGGTGTTTCATGATTTTCTCGCTTCGGGCTTCTTCGAGCCGGAACGGCTCCAAAGGCGCCGCGAATCCTCTCAAGACCGCTCATAAGGACCCCAAGAGGGCCCCAGAACGGCCCAAGAGCGCCCCAAGATTGCCCAAGACGGCATCAAGCCGGCCCAAGAGGGCCCCGAGAGGCCCCCGAGACCAACCATGAGGCCCCCAAGAAGGCCCCAGGACAGCCCACGAGTTCCCAAGACTGCCCCAAACGGCCCCAAGCCGGCCCCAGACGGCTTCCCCGAGACCCATTATGAGGCCCAAAAGAAGGCCCCAGGACGGCCCAAGAGCGCCCCAAGACTGCCCAAGACGGCCCCGAGACGGCCCAAGACGGCCCCAAGAGGCCCCCGAGATCCTCCCAGGGAATCCCAAAACGGCTCGATAGCGCCCCAAGACTGTCCATGACGGCCCCGCGCCAGCCCAAGAGAGCCCCAAGAGGCCCCCGACATCCCCCCAAGGACTCCCGAAACGGCTCGACGAGGGCTCTCAGACAGCCCGACTCGGCGACCAAATGGATATTACAACGTACCCCTCCTTGTAGCATCCACCAGGTGTTTTCTGCGACCCCTCTTGGGGCAGGACGCCCTCCTGCGTTCGCAGGGTCGGTCCAGAGCCCTGGGAGACTGCGCATCGCGTCCGTTTTTCCGAGAGTCGAGCGCGCGGCGCCGACAGCACCGAGACACGCGCGCCCTCGCCCGAGGGAACGGACAGGGTACAAAAAATAGCCCAGAGGACCTCATCGCGCCATGCTGCGCGTGCTGCTTGCACCTCGCTGTGCCGTCCCAGTGAGTTCCCTTAAACAATGCTTCCCTTTGAATGGCGCCAAAACCATTGGGGATGGCTATATGCCGTCAACGCCGCCGCCCCTGCAGGGTCGTCTTCGCGAACCTCCCAGGACACCGCCGTCTGAGAATTTCCACAAACATGGTGTGTTTGAGGCCATTCCAAGGGACACACGGAAAAAACCGCTCGAGTTTTCAATAGATTGTCCATGCCTGCTCTGGTAGCCACCCAGCCTCCAGAAGACCCTGGGCCCCGCCTCACACGGCGCCTCCTCTCGGAACACCTCAGAAGGCACTCCAGCGAAGCCCCGGCGAGGGTCCCATTTGAAAGAACGAGCCGCCCTCTCTCCATCCTCCGTGCCTGCTCTGGTAGCCCTCAAGCCTCCAGGAGGCCCCGGGCCCCGCCTCACCCGGCGCCTCCTCTCGGGACACCTCAAGAGGTCCTCCAAAAAAAACCCGGCGAGAGTCCCGTTTTGAAGAACGAGCCGCCCTCTCTCCATCCTCCGCGCCTGCTCTGGTAGCCCCCCCAGCCTCCTGGAGGCCCCGGGCCCCGCCTCACACGGCGCCTCCTCTCGGGACGCCTCAAAAGGCCCGCCAGGGAAGCCCTGGCGAGAGTCCCATTTTGAAGAAGGCGCCGCCCTCTCTCCATCCTCCGTGCCTGCCCTTCCTCGGCAGAGCGACGAAGACGATTCTTCGGACTGGTCCGACGAGGGCTTCCAGAGAGCCCGAATCGGCGACCAAATGGATACTACAACGTACCCCCTCCTTGTAGCATCCACCAGGGGCGTTCTGCGACCCCCCTTGGGGCAGGACGCCCCAAGACAACCGTCAGACACCCCGCGGGAACGTTTCCAGAGGCAGATGTTCTGGATTCCCTATGTATATATATATATATATATATATATATATATATATATATATATTTCTGACTCTCCTTCTTTCCAGCTCCGGACCGCCCACGGCGGCTACAAGAGCCTCGCGGATCGACCCATGCGGCCTTAGAGCTACCCAAGAGCGCCCCGAAATGGCCCAGGAGGGCGCCAAGACGATTCCAATACGACCCGAGCTGCCTCAGAGCTACCCGAGAGCGCCCCGAGATGGCCCATGAGGGCTCCAACACGATTCCAATGCGGCCCCAAGCCTGTCCCAGAGGGCGTTCAGAGGACGTGGCAGAGGCCCCAGACGGCCCCAGCGGCTCCCAGGAAGGCCCTAGCCAGCCGGCCCCACAGGGTTTCGAGTCGGCCCCCGTGGTCCCAACATGGCTCCAAGACGGCGCCAGAGGGCTCCGGCACGGCCTGGCTGAGCCCGTTACCGGGTCAAGAGGGACCCTAGAGCGCCACAAACGGCTCTCAAGAGCTCAAGAGAGACCCAAGGCAGCCACAGGAGCTGCCACGACGGCCCTGGAGATGTCGGTGCTGAAGCTGACATCCGCCAGCTCCTGGAGGTACAGCGCCCATACCAGCATGTTCTGGGAGAGCGTTTCGGGAAGCTGTTCGACTCAGACAAGCTGTTCTGGTACGCTTTCGCCAGCTCACACGCGCGGCGTGCACGTCCCAGGTTCAGCGCACCGTGGATTTAATTCACGGGTGCACACTAGTCAGCTACAGCGCTGGGATCAGCGCGTGCGAGAGGGGCGTGCAGTGGCAGCGGGCTGTGGCGCTGCTCATCGAGATGTGGCAAGGGAAGTTGGACTCCGACGTCGTAAGCTACAGCGCTGTGATCAGCGCGTGCGGCAAAGGCGACCAGTGGTGGCGAGCGTTGGCGCTGCTGAGCGAGATGTGCGAGGCCGCATTGAAGCCCAACGTCATCAGCTGCAGCGCTGGGATCAGTGCGTGCGAGAAGGGCAGCCAATGGCAGCGAGCCCTGGCACTGCTCAGCGGGATGCGGGAGGCGCAGCTGGAGCCCAACGTCATCTATACTACTGGGCATGGCGCGCGCTAGCTGGAGGCATTGCGTGCGCCCGTTGGGCTCGCGGCGGCGGCGGCGTCTCGGCGGCCCCGCTCGTGGAGCGGCGCTGTCCTGGCCCAGGAGAGAGCCCCAGGACGGGTCAGGAGGGCCCAGCGAGAGAGCCGGCGATGGCCTTCATGGAGCCCTCCGAGAGCCCAAGAGCGCCCCACCACAGCCTCAGAGGGACTCAACAAGCCTCTACGGAGCTCCGAGGGGACCCCCAGGAAAGCCTTTTATCTTCTATGTTTGTTTCGCACTACCAATTGCCAAATCTATCGATGGCTCGCGATCGCTTCTCTGGCCACAAGACGCCCAACCCGCCCCGAGACGTCTCCCAGATCGTCACCATGGCGACCAGAGAGCTCCCAAGAGAGCCCCTGCGACGGCCCTGGAGACCCTCAAGACGGTTCTGGGGACCCCCGAAACGGCCGAACAACCCATTACAGCAGCTCCTGCGAGCTGGCCCTGGCATACTCCTAGAAGGCCCCAGATCCATGGAAACAGCTACACCCCACGGGTCCCAGGAGAGCCTGTAGCAGTTCCTTCCAAAAGCTAGAAGCACCAACTGTTTAGAAACAGCCACACCCCAGATCTCTTGGGACACCTCGCGCGGGAAAGGTCGCGGACAATAGCTGTCCGATGCAGCCGCGGACACCCCAGACACCAGATCCCGAAGGGGGAAGAATAGAACGAGGAGGAGGATGAAGAGGAGGAGGAGGAGGAGGAAGAGGAGGAGGAGTTGGAGGAGCAGCAGCAGCAGAGGAGGAGGAAGAGGAGGAGGAGGAGGAGGAAGAGGAGGAGGAGGAGGAGGAGGAGGAAGAGGAGGAAGAGGAGGATAAAATGAGGATAAGGAGGAGGAGGAGGAGGAGGAGGAGGAGGAGGAGGAGAAGGAGGAGGTGGAGCTGCTGCTGTTGCTACTGTCCATGCCCCTGGATCTGCTGCAGTTGACACTGCTAGCGCTGCCCTGGACGCCGTCAGAGCCATCCAGCAAACACCGCGCCCTGAAGCAATGAGCAGTAGCAAGGGCACTCTGACCGCTGGCACTGGTCTACGCTAGAACGGCCAGGGAACCGCGTGCCAGAACGGTGGGTACTGGGACGCGGCTGAAGTGGCCAATATCGTCCCCAGCGGGCCTGGCGGGCCCCAGCAGGTTCCGAGACGGTCCTAGATGGCCCGAGACGCCTCCAGACGGTCCAGAAGGGTGCCGATATGGTTTTCAGACGGCCCAATGGGGCCCCAAGACAGCGCAAGAGGGCTCCAAGAAGCCCCCTAAGATTGCAAGGCTCGCTGCCAGTGTTGTGGCCTCCGCGCGGCGTCCCCTGAATCATCCCCCCTTGCGTCCTCGCGCCTATCCCCGTCGCACCCCCGTATCATCCCTGCGCCCATCCTCTCGTCTCGACAGATATCTCACGATGCACCCCACGATGCACGGACAGTCACAGGGACGCCAATGATGGCGGTTGTGCAGATAATCTGGGGACGCTTTAGAGAGCTAGCAGACCTCTAGACAACACAGGGCAGCGAACCTTACAACCTTAATAAGGGCCCCCAGAGGCCAAAATCACTGATGCCCCTCAAGTTTTTGAAGGGTTCCAGCGTCCTCGCCTTTTTGGGGCCTCGACGCCTCAAGACGGCCAAAGGCTCCCAAGATCGCGCCAAGACGGCCCAAGAGGCCCCCAAGAGTGCTCCCATACGGCTCAAGAGCGCTCCAAGACGGCCCAAGAGGCCCCGAAGATGACCCAAGACGGCCCCAAGAGGATACCACGCCTTCCGCTCCAGGATGATCCCAGCAACCGCCAGCTGGCCCCCAAGCGGCCCCTCAGACGCCGCAGGAGGCCCCCGAAGTGGCCCAAATCAGATTCCAGGAGGCCCAGAGAGGCCCGAGGACGCCATCAAAACCGCCTCCACGAGGCTTCCTTGGGAAGGACCCTCAGAGAGCTTTGGGACCGCGCCAGCCTCCCAGGAACATCTGTTGCCCACGCGCCTCTGATGCTCGCCCCTTCTTTGCAAAAGGCTCTGGTCTGAGTGGCGTGGGCGACACGCATGGGAGTTCTCCCTGAGAGTGCTCCGGAAAGGCCAGCTTTTGGGGGATGCTCCGCAGTGCCTTCAATCTCGGGGCTGGACAGAACCCCCAACAGTGACACGTCGATTAGTGAATTGTCCGTTTTCGGTTCTCGAGAGGGCGTCGTGGCCGTCATTGTCCAGGCTTGCGCCCGCCAGGTTTGGGCTTCAGGTCGTTTTCAATAAACCACGTTTTGCTAAAGGGAGGTCTGTCCATCCCCCACAATCTCCTCCCCAGCCCGCGCAGCCCTTCGCGCATCCTCCGACCTCCCCGGGCGGCCAGAGCCACCACGGAAACCCTAAAGCCCGCCTTCAAGATGCCTCCGAGGGAGGACCCCTCAGGAAGCTCTGGGACCGCGCCGGCCAGAAAGGAAAACGAGACCCCCACTCGCATCTGATTTGTTCCCTTCCTTTACACCGGCTCCGATCTGAGCGCATCCTTCGACCTCCTCGGGCGGCCACAGCCACCATGGAACGTCTTTTGAAAATAGGGCCCACATATTTATGCGTTTGTGTTCCAAACTTTCCTGTGGTGTTGGGTCGTCGTTTTGAGAAGACAGCGCCCCGCGTCTCCTCTCCTCTCCTCTCCTCTCCTCTCCTCTCCTCTCCTCTCCTCTCCTCTCCTCTCCTCTCCTCTCCTCTCCTCTCCTCTCCTCTCCTCTCCTCCTTCCTCCTCCCTTCTCCCATCCCTGCCTCTGCCCTCCGCAACCCCAGGACAGCGTTTCGTGGCCTCATAAGGGCGCTTCACCAAAGGTCCCAGTGGCTGTGACCACATGCGTACCGCGCCACCCAGTACGGCGTTTCGTAGCCCCATAGTGAGTTCCACTAAAGGCCCCCGTGGCTGTGACCGCATGCGCCTCGCGCCGCCCCGCACTGCGTTTCGTGGCACTTAGGGAGCTCCACCGAAGGTCTATGCGCCCCGCGCTACCCAAGTACAGCGTTTCGTGGCCCTTCGGGAACTCCACCGAAGGCCCCACTGGCTGTGACCACATGCGTCCCGCGCCACCCAATACGGCACTTCGTGGCCCCATAGGGAGTTCTACCGATGGCCCCCGTGGCTGTGATCACATGCGTCCCGCGCCACCCAGTACGGTTCGCCGTGGCCCCATATGGAGCTTCACCGAAGGCTCCAGTTGCTACGACCAAATACGTCTCGGCTCCAAACGGAGCTCCACCGACGGCCCCAGCGGTTCTGACCACATGCGTCCCGCGCCACATCCGTAGCCATTCTGGCTCAAGCTGCGGCGCGCCTTGTATTAGGTTCGATTTGTTTTGATCTTCGGTTGATTCCATGGCCGAGGAACTCATTGTTCGCCTCCATGGCCAGGCTCTGCGCATGATCTGCGACACCACGGGTCGCGACTTCGCTGGCCTTGGTGTGGCCGCACGCACGCTCTTCAAAGACAAGTCCCAGCGGTCGTTGCGGCGGAGGCTCGAGCACGTCGACACCAGCTTCGCCCTCGTTCGGCACATCAACCGTGTCAAATCAGAGTTCCTCCGGACGGAGCTCGCCGATACGCTGGGCCAGTCTGGTGGCGTCGTCTCGCTGAACCTGCAGGAGGAGAACCAGCCTCGCGATGGTACTGATCCCCATCATCGGCTTCAATTTCCTGCAGGTGCTACTCGCGATCTGAATGTTCCACATGGCGCTGATGGTGCTGTTTCCGCCGAGCGGCTCGTGGACGTTCATTGTGGCCTTCCCGAACCGCGTGAAGCAGTTCGTGCTGGTCCACGTGATGACGACTCGCCTCCAGTTCCTGAGCGACTCGTGGATGTTCGCGGCGACCTCTCTGCCGAATTGCGCGAAGCTGTTCGTGCTGGTCGACTCGGCGATGTCTCGCTTCATGCCGAATATCCCTCGGAGCCAGATCGCGATGCGCCTGGCGATGCCTTTCCGGATGGCGACGGCACCGCCAATGCGATGTCCACGTTCAGCGTGTCCGCCGCTGGCTCCCTGCGCAAGGTGGTGATCTACAAGCCGTGCCCCTGATGTCTTCCTCCTGCTGTCGAATATCCTGGTGTTCCTTATCGAGCTCCTCGCTGTCGTGCGTGCGCTCTGTTACGGAGCTCATGCAGCACGAAGCGGGCAATGGCGTGCCGATATTGTGGGCAGAGTGCCTACTGGGACTCCTGAGAGCTTCCTCTTCCCCCCCCCCCATCCGTCTGCTTTTTGCATGGCTGGGTGGGGGTGGGATGATGATGGGGGTGATGAGAGGGTGCGGTTGGATGGCTGCTACGCTTGCTATCGATCTCTGTTCTGGCATTCTATGTGTTGCTAGCCTCGCAGCCGCTTGACTTGTACAGCTTTCTTGTGAAGTACCATCAGGTGTTTCACTGGGGAGGCTGGATTGGATGGAGTCACTTGATCATGCTCGTCTCCTTGATAATGTGGCCAGGACTATTGATCCTGCTCGTGTGCCACGACAAGCTGAAGACAGCGTAGTGATAAATTCGTGAATGGGAGTTTTCCCCTTCTCTCGAATGTTGTTTTCTTGAGCCCTCCTCCCGCCTTTCCCTCACACCTGTCTGTGCTCAGCGATTGGGTGGGGGAGGCATGCAGTGGCGGGGGGACGTGAGCAGTTGGAGGTTTGAAGCGTTCAACTTTAAGCGTTGTTTAATCGTCCTGTGTTGACGCCTCCGTCCCCGGACGGTTTTGAATGGTGCACTGCTCGAGGCCCTCGAGGTTTCGTGTCCCTTGTTTCTTCGGTCGGGTCCCTTCGCTCGTCCTTTGTCTGGGTTCCTGGGTCCGTCCCTCGTTCCCCCTTTCGGCCCCTTTCGGGCCTTTCGCTCGTTGTCGTCGACTTCGGGCAGGAGTGATTGGCAGGCGATCACCCGCGAGCAAATAAAAAAAAACGTCCCGCGCCACCCAGTACGGCGTTTCGTGGTCCTATAGGGAGCTC